TCAAGACCTGGCTATATCATCAGGCCAGGGGACTGGTGAAACCCTGAGACGGCTCCATGGTTAACCAAAGTCCCTCAAGACCTGGCTATATCATCAGGCCAGGGGACTGGTGAAACCCTGAGATGGCTCCATGGTTAACCTCCGCTCTCTCTTGTACCTGGTGGTTTTTTACATTTTAAGTTTTATTGTTTTTTTATAGTTATTGTTTTAATTAACTGCTGTATGCCGCCCAGAGTCACTTTTTGTGAGACGGGCGGCTATATACATTTGATAAATAAAACAAAACAAAATTCCTCTGCCTGGGTGACAGCAGGCCTTTAAGCTGCTTTTGAATGATAAAAGGCAGCACATTCTAGAAAGGAGAAACTGGCGTTCAAATTCCAGCGATAAAATCTCTTTGAGTGATCTTGGAGAGTTTTCCTATCTCATCCTAGCCTTTCTCATATGGGTCAGAAGGAGGATTAGTTGTGGGAATATATCATCCATGCTGTTCTGGGATGTTTGAGTAAAAGGCAAAAAAAAAATTTTTTTTTTTAAACTTTAACCCCAAAAAGAGTTAGAAAAGTAAAGTAGTTTATACTACCTAGATGGTGCGTATTCTAACTTCCTTTGGAACAAAACAAAACCGCCCAGGGGACAGAAAGGGTGCTACACTGCTTGCTGCAGGCCCTTTCAAATGATAACTCTGACCTTGTGGTCCAACAGCTGCTACTTCTCAATATGTGCTGAAATGCATCAGAGGATTTGAGAACGAGAATAAAAACAACTGAAATGTGCTGGGATATATGTAAGGAATAGGTTACAGTATATTGCTTTTAGGTAATAAAGCCCCCACCTCTCATCAGCTTGAAGAAATTTAAGCAGCTGGAAACAGCAATCTGGTATTTAAGGAATGCAGGGGGAAAGTGGTGAGTTTTAAGCCTTGGGATATTCATCAAAGCCCTGCACCTGGTTTACACATGAGACAATTTGGTTTGAGTTCAGTGTAAAGCATGACCCCAGCCAACTGTAGCTTAGGCAACAAACTGTGGTTTAATATGGATGGCTTAGCCACAACTATTCTGAGATGAGCCCAGACTTAGCTGCATCAGAAAGTGTACTAAAACGGTTCGGGAGGGCCCTTGGCTAATGGCATTCAGGAGTTATGAAATGTATTGTTCAGAGACCGCGATAGGAAACAACAGGATTTTTTGTTTGTTTTCTGCACAGTTGAAAAGTTATCTAGGAAAGCCCACGGAGAAGCTCATAATTCTTTTTCCTTACGTTTTAAGAAGCCCCATAAAGCTTCGTTATGCAGGTATATGGAATGCCAGTGAGAGGCATTTCAGAAAGCAGAGAACCAGAACTGAGTTGCCAGTGGTTCATCAGAGAGCTCATGCTGGGTTTGTGCATTTTTATAATATCAGTACAACAGGGAGGTCACAACAGAACATTGCTGAAAGGCAGATGGCAGTGATTTCAAACAAATGTTGTGCTAGATGTTCAATAAGCAACAATAAGTTCCCCGGCCTGCTTTCACCACACTTACAGAACAAGAGAAAAGTCTATTTAAAAGATTAAAAAATAGCAATATTTAATGGGGGTTGTCCCTGCGCGAATACACCTACATAAGAAAAGCAGGCTGTGAGAGCTGCATTATCACATTATTGCCGGCTACATCACATTTCTGTTGTGCAGGGGAGGAGTTACCTCCATCAAGATGACATCATCATCATCTTCCTCATCTTCCCACTGCCGGCGAACAGGCGTGTCCAACATCACAGGCAGCTCTTCATCCGAGGAGTCTGATATAGTGATAAGTCCCTCGTCTCGCTGGTTAATTCTATCTGAAGGAAGGACAAGCTTATCAACCAGCTGAAGGTTTACAGCGGCTCATTAATATTTATACATCCGTCCTTAGGACTCCACACTGAAATATATTGAGCTCGCATTGTAATAAGGCATGAGAGAAATTCAAGGGCATGGTTTCCACTGGAGTTCACCACCAGCACCGTCTCAACCTTGTCAGAACAAAGCCAAGTAGCGCACACCTGCGCGTACTCAGTGCCAAGAACATGACACCTTCTCCATTGAACTAAATGGTCACCGGAGGATACTGGGCAGATCATGCAGACATATGGAAATGGAGCAGAAGCTTTGATCCCAAATGGGAAAGAGCCACGCGGTATATCTCAAAGTGTAGAAGTAGTAGCATTTCAGAGAAACAGGATGCCTTCGTGGCAACGGCTTATCCTCACGTCCTGTCCAAAACTTCAGCAAAACGCTAGAAATGAGCAGCCCAGTTCCAGTGATGGGAGGGTGGCAAGTATAAGAATAACACATCAAAAGACCTAACAGACGATTTACAGAATTAAATATCTTGTGAAACTGGAAGCTGCATACTGCATCATGAACACTGGCTTGGAAAAAAGGTAGCAATTCGGTATAAATACCTGGGAGGTTCGTGTTTTCTGACACGTGATGCCCAGAAACTTTAAAATGGCAGATATGTTGAAATTAGTCTGGACTGATACCTCTCGAGAGCATCACACAGAGTGCAAATATTGGCTTGGGTGCACGGTATCCTCCAATGTTTTTGCCCACCTTCCATGAAGGACTTTGAAGGGTTGGGAAACAATTACTTACCTTTCCCTCGATGACTCCGGAAACTATTCAAGTCAATTACTTCTTTTCCACCTCCTTCTTCCATGTTAGAAGGTTATGCACCTGAGCATGGCATTCACTTCTTCAAGAGCCCCTGGAAATAGCCGAATGACAGGATGATCACTCAGCAGAGATCACAGCGAGATCACCGCACTGTTTGCTTCCCATGAGCTTGTTACTATAGCATCAGCAGCAGAGTGAGATTTCACACGAAATTGTTCAGGATCCTTGCTTTAATTAAAAGCTAGGATCTGCACAGGGAAACCCAGCTGCTCATTGCTCAAGCATTCAACAATCCCACCTGCAACTGCTAATCCGCTCTCAAGCAAGGTTTCTATTTACCTGAAATGTCTCCAGGCTAACCATCAATGTGGGATTTCCCTGCTTTGGGCGGGGGAGGAACCCTGGGGTACACTCCATGGGAATCAAATTATCTTGGACACATTAGGAGTGAATTCCAAGGAACTGTGTGGGTTAGGGAGCCTCACTTTTTCAGTAAATAAAAAACAAGTGCCTAGTCATGGTTCTAAAACACACACACGCATGCACACAAAGCAAGCCTCATTTATAGCAACAGCCTTTTTCAATGAGGTTCAAGCCTCTGGTTTGGCAAGCCTGAATGAGCTTTAACATTCTCCCTTAACTCCCTCCTCTTGGCCACAGCTGCTAATGACCCGATACAGGTTAAAAGACTGATTTCTTTTTTGGGTCTCCCTTCATGGATGTGTCTGCATCTGTGAATGTGTGGGCGTGTATGCATGAGAAGATCAGGGAAGAAGTAATGTGAAAACATGGAGGGCTATAATTGAAATATGACATATGGATCTGAATAGAGGCAGCATGACTACACAATAAAAGACTTGCTTGGAAACACTCTGTGCTTTTCCAGCACTGCTCTTTGCCAAAACCCTCCAGTAAACCTTTATTCAGAACCGTTCCATTACACCAGCACACCATCAGATTCAAGGCATGCTGGCCTTAATTTTAATAGATCAGCATATGTCTGCGTGTAAATAAAATTCTTCTAAAGCAGACGACAGAGATTCAGGCACATGTGGGCCACAAAATACAACATCTAGAAGACACACGCACCCGCAACACTTCTGGTGAGGGAAGAAGGTCTTTAAGTTGGCATCAAGATTTATTTATTTCTTTTCCTGAAACACATTAAAAGTTAATTTTTAAGGAAAACCTATTGATTCGTTGGGCTACATTTTCAATCATTTCATCCATCAGCCTGGTTAGCTAATTATGACAGCCCCGCTATTCAGTCCCCGCGGTTGATGCAATCCTGATTTCTGGGCTAAGATTTTCACACTGGGCACAAGACGGCAAATTTCTGTTTTCTGGCCTAAGTAAGTGATTCTTGCATTAGGTTGCCAGCCGTCCACCAAAAGACCAATGATTTAATCAGGCTGGACTTTATCACTGAAGCAAATTTGTCTGTCAAAGGAAAAACATCCGCCCAAGTCTAGACATAAAAAATATCTTTCCTAGGAATAAACTGCAGAAACTCTGACTAAGCTAACGAACTATCCTTCTTGAGAACTGAAACCAAAAGTTCTCAAGCCTACCACGGAAGAAACTCTGGCATAATGTTTTTAAACAGAGTACTGGGGCACATTTAGCAATTTGAAAATCACATGCAGCTAGGCTCCCCCAAATCTAACTAGAGAGGAACCCGCGTACAGAAAACTGCCACTGGTTATATGCCGTATCTTGATGAACAGGCAAAACTCAGGAGTCTCAAAAAGATGAGATACTGGGGACGAGGAGATTCTAAATTTATACGTCATGGAGGAATAATTTAGACTTATCCAAAAAGAACAGGCTCAACTGGCATTAGGAGGGGATCGGCCAGATGGCTTACCAAAAAGATGGCAAAGCAGTTTTTGAACTGAGCCTAGTAAAAAGCCATCAGGATTAAGGACCTTCCAGTTAGGTTAAATCATGCCTAAGAGATGAAGAAGGATATCTTTTTGTTGCCAAAATGGGCAGGGAGCAGGAAAGGGGGAATGAACACAACAGACATGTGGAAATGATCGTATGTAAGCATTTTTTTCCTATTAGTGCTAGATGTTCTCAAGGCAACAGAGTGGCTTTGCTTTAGAAGTAGATATGCCGGTCATTAAAGAAAACTGGTGGAATCAGTAAGAAATGGCCATTTTTGGATCAAGAAAAGACTAGGAAAGTTACCCTAGAAACGCTATCACTCTACCAGGAGAGCCTGGGCCAAATCAAAACGCAAAAGGGAAAGGAACCTTTACAATTTTGGGGGAGGGGGGTAACACACTGAAGCTCCCCAAATCATTTTAACTGGGGTCCTGCTGTTCCTAAGATGGACAGAAGTCATATAAAAGCCAGAAAGAACAGGCTGGCAGACAACATGCCAAAACCAACCATCCAGTAAACCTTTACCAAAATAAAAGAAGTGCTAAGAAGGTATTAAGGGGGCATTAACCCGATCCATAGTTTGGTACAGCCAAAGAAGGATTTGTGCTGCAAAAACTTGCTTCTGATACAAAGAAGACCCACCACAGACATTTCTCAATCAACTTCAAAGTGATTGAGAAATCCTCAAAACCAAAGAGGTTCAGAGATGTGTAGATCTCTACCCATTCCTGGTTTTTAGGATAACAATCAGCTCCTTGAACTGAGTCTGGAACTAGATCCTCACATCAACCCTCTTTGTTTGCCTTAAATACTTTTCCAGAATGAGGACAGGCAGTTTAAGGAGGCATAAAAATAACTGATAGCAGCCTGTCTGGCGAAGTTCATGTTAATCCTGAATCTCTAATCGCTGGTGCTCCCAAAGTTTCCAGCTAGAAGGAATGTTCAGGGAGGTGCTGAAAACCACTTTCCCAAACATCTGACCTCTTTTGCAATAGATTATTCTGAATGCAAAATCCTCCACAGCTCTTGCAAGAAACGAAAGTTGTTAGAACAGGCCCAGAACAAATCTCTTCTGAAAGGCTGCACCTCACCAGGCCTAGAGAGATCAGTAAGACCCAGTTCAAGAATCTCTTCCTTAGGACAGCTCACAACTTCCTCCAGAATTTAAACTGTAGTCAAACTCATCCTTAGAAGTCTGAAGCAGTGATTCATTTCTTCTAGCGGCATGGAGGAAAAAAAAATAAACTCCAGCATGTATGGGTCAACCAGAAGGAAAAGGTTCAACAAGAAACAACTGTCAGCAGGAACTAACAAAACCTCAGCTTACGTATTTGGGGAAAAAATGCCCCAAGAGTTTAATACATTACACAGACCAAACCAATTCAGATGCCAAGCAAGAGTTTGGGTGTTTCCAACTAAATAAAGTGTGGCACTGGGGAGACCCAGGTTCAAATCTATGCTGAGCCATTGAAACTCTCTGGATGACTGAGCCAGTCTCTCTCTGTTAGCCCAACCTACCTCACAGGTTGCTGTTGTGGGTAAAAATTGGAGGAAGAAGCACTATACACAACGTTTTGAACAGGAGAAGTAGGACAAAACTCTTAACAAATAAACACATAACATAGTGTCATGCAGGTAAAAAAGCAGCATACTTGAGAAACAAGTAGACTGAACATGTTTTCCTGCTGGGCAAGATTTCTACCTGCAATGACTTTATGATGGAGGAGTATTCAAATATGCCATGCACCAATTATACACCTGAGAGAACGCTGCATCACTTTGAAGACATGGCACTCTGCTGATTTTCCACTTAACTGATAGCATTTGAAACTTCCACTAACTTTCCTATGCTCTGTTCCATCACCCAAACCTTAACCTTCCGTAAAGTTAACACTGTTCCATGGTATATTCTGGGAATACTGTACTTACTAATACAGTTAATAGCAACTATTACAAATTGCAAGTTCAAAGCTGCATCTGAGGTCTGCAGGGTTTACTTCTCATCCCCCCTGCCCCACAATACTTACTTATTCCCAAGGCTAAGGAAGAAAACTAACCCTTTCGGCCAAACCTAAAGAGATACAAGGCTGTGACTAGGAGACTCCTACGACCCATATCAATCAGTTCACTTCACCAAGGTTACCCTCACAGCAGGTAGCAGAAGATGCCAGAATCAGCCCTGCCTCTTTCCCCAAATTCCATGACCTTATCTTCCTCCCCCATCCCAAACAAAAGTTCAGATGGCAAGGCTGCCTTTGTTTTCATTGCATACAAATCTAGCCTTGTAGGTAAATGGACTTTGTCCCTGAAACCAATAATCAACCAGGAAGCTTATCCTTGTAATCACAATGAACTACTTTCCAAGGAGAAGCAAGATGTCTTAGGAAGGGAGTGAGGGGGAAAAAAGGAGGAAAAAGGAGGGGAGGGGAGAAGAGAGAGAAGGCAAATCAGCAAAAGGAAGAATAGTGGGAGAACAGGTGGAAGAGAGAACTTAAAGGGGGAGTTTAAAGGGCCATTCCATAAATGGAAAAGGGGAATATGGGTGGAGGAGGATGGGGACAAAAGCAAGCCTTTGAGGAGAGCACAGAATATAAGGAACACAGTCTGTGTTTGATTCATTCCACTTATAAGCCACCTTTATGTTCAAGTTGGCAAACCATAATTAAAATCCCAAATCCCAAAAGGTAAAAGCAAATTAATGCAAATGTTAACTAAGAATTAAAACCTCCTGAAAGCAATATTTCTCTGGAGATTTCCTAAATTCAGAGCGGGGTCCAAACCCCACTCCAAGAGAATGGAGGGATGCAGAAGGCCCACGAGGTGTTTTGGCCTGTGGACCTGAAGGGCTGAGAGGCAGTCCTTCAGACTGTCTGGCCCTAGGCCATGTAGAGTTTTAAAAGTTAGCAATATTGTCTTAAATTGTGAGGGGTAAACCAGGAATTCAGGTCTCTGAGCGCAGACATCTCTGTACTACAGAATCACTCTGGAACTTGGAGTAAATTAAAGCAGCTGTAAAGCCCGGAGCAAATTCCAAAACAGGTAGTCCCCAGTTTCGGAATGAGTTCTGTTCCCAGGGTCTGTCCTTAAGTTGAATTTGTAGGTAAGCCAACTAGCCACTGTGTATTTAACTCGAGCCATTGTGTATGTAACTCGAATTTTGCTACAATAGGCTCTGTCCTTAACTATGGGTTGTCCGTAAACTGGGTGTTCTTAACCTGGGGGCTACCTGTTACGTAATAGGGCTTATTTCCAAATAAAGTCAGTACCAATTTGGACAGCAAAGGAAGTTAAGCAGGAATAAAAGGTCTGGTAACAAATGCTGGTGGGGAAAGAGTTAGAGATGGTCAGGATTTTTAGATTTTTTTTCCCCCACCTTTATGATTTTTATAAATCACTCAAGGTGGTGAACATACCGAATACTCTTTCCTCCTCCTATTTTCCCCACCACAATAACCCTGTGAGGTGAGTTGGGCTCAGAGAGAGGGACCGGCCCAAAGTCACCCAGCCGGCTTTCGTGCCTAAGGCAGGACTAGAACTCACCACCTCCTGCTCTCTAGCCTGGTGCCTTCACTTCAACCAAGAATGTAGGAAGTTAGTTTACACCGTGCCAGACCTCATCTGTGTTCCTCTAAGGCCCCAACGGGAAGCCTGGCGTAGCTCAGTGTGAAGGCATCAGGATCTGAATCTGAGACTCAGCTGCTTACAAAACAGGTGCTGGGCTGTTCCTCAGCCCCACTTGAATGCTGCAGGATGGGGTGGCTTTGGGAGAAGCAAAATGCCAAGAAGTGGGGGAGAGGGACCAGCGGGCAGCATAAAGGGGGCTCGGAAGGGCGAGGAGTTGTTGAAAATGAAGCAGGGCCTGCGGTCGGCAAGAGTGGGGGGAACAAAACTCAAGCCAGCAAAACTTGCCGAATGGAAGAGAAAGTGAAATAAAAAGGATGAGATTAGCTGGGGGGGAGAAGAGCCTCCTTTCTTTCCCTTAGGAAAGCCAAAGGGGGCATGGGGGGCGGAGACAGATAGAGAAGGGGGGATGAAATGCAGGGGCTGGGG